TGTTTCGCCCTCAGGTATGCGGTCTGAGGGCAAAAAAAAGCCAAATATGAAAGATGTAGCTTGCAAGACTGAAAACACAATATACATACACACAGGGATTGCAAGGCACAGTATTTCCATCCTTGACCTCTCATACAATGGCACATGCTAAATTTTGTTAAAATGGCTACTTTGCAGTAGGAAAACAAAGTACTACGAGTGCCAAAATATATGTCCAAATTGTAAGCCATCCAATCTTGGCTGCATCCATCCCATTTTTGCCAGAGTGCACGTAGGAGGGTACCTTCAGAAAGTAATCTCATGTATGCCCCCTCAGTTTTTTGAAAGGCACATAGACAATGGAAAACTTTCCATGGTTCAGAACCATGTTAAACAACCTATGCGCAAGATAAATTGACTGCAAGTCAGCCTTCAAGACACAGACTTAGTCCAGAAGAGATGTAATCTTGTATCGCATATGACCAGGCATCCTCCACTTTCTGCTGCTATTTTCCACATTCTGCTCCATTTCAGGAGACAGAAGCTGTGAGGGGAGAAGGGATGAAAGAGTTGCTGTAGCTCTTCTTGGGTCATCTGTCTGCAATGGCCTCCGTGGGGTCATAAGGAATAGCACCTCCCTGAGCAGCATGGTGAAAATCTGCCGCATGGTAAGCAGAAGAACAGTGCATCACCTCATTCATCCTGCACGTGCTGCAGGGAAAGGACACCCCATGGGTGGACAAAGGATGCTTCACCAAAGCCTTGAAGGTGCAAGCTGGCTACTCTTCTGGTGTAGCAGGCTCATAAAAGCTTGTTGATTCCAAGCCAGCCACTTTTCAGATGATGTAGCAAGTCATGAGTGCCAAGTCCTTTATTTCAGGGCCATAGGCTGCACAGGAGAGAAAAAGAAAGCCACTGGTGTAAGCTATAATTGGGGAACCATAAATATTTAAAACCGCTAATGCCAAAGCTTCTGTCCGTCAGCACAAGCCTAATTCAGGAGCCTCATATTAAAGCAAGAAAGTGTTTCACCTGAACCACCATCCTCTGACCCAACTTTGCATCATGGAGGCAAGGGAAAGGAAGTGCTCAGTCAAGGGACTGGCACACTTTTAAGTATATAGTTGTAAGAAGATGGAGTACACTCCAGCCCCAAAGGGAGATGGGACTCATCAACAATAGTTTTGTCTACCAATACACCCCTGCTCTAGCTCACCTGCTCAATTTCCCATCTTGACGTATGAATATGAAACCTGGGGATTTCTCCACCATCATCACCCTACAGATGATGAACTGTGGTGATGAACTGTTGCACAGAAGGGGGTAATTTAACATTGCCTGCTGGCCCCCATCCTGACCTCTATACACTGCTCAGCACCCACATGCAGAAAAGCTGACCAACACCTGGATTTTGAAAAAAGCATTGACGTTTAACATACATAAACCCCGTGATGTCAATAAAATGGAGATTAAGGACACGGCCAGCAGGATTGCTCGCTTGCTCCAAACTGACACATCTTATAACCGTGCTGCCACTCAATTAAAGGAAACCTTGGCCAACTAATCCCATTTTAGTCAATCAATGAAATCTACATAAAGTTTCAAAGCAAGAAAGTTTCCTTTTTAAAAAAGAAGAAAGAAGACCCACAAGTCAGATGCAGGAGGCAGCAGGCAGCACCTCAGAAGGCCAGGCGTGTTAAGTCTGTCAAAGCAAAAGCGAAGATGGGCTTAAAAGGCAAGCATTTATAGCGACTAAAAGCTTTTGTGGAGAGGCCACATCGCAGCAAAGTGTGACACCCACTACCCCAAACATGCACATACATCTCCCAAGGTGAGCAGCACTTCATGCACCTGGCAAGGCAGACTCCTGCCAACAAGCGAGGCCTGCTAAGCCCCTTGAGCCTCCTGGGCTATTTGTTCCTCCCACCCTTATGATGAGCCTCATTCCCTGTGGCTTTCCATTATTCTGTTTTTAAAATCTTATTGAAAACAAATGTTTTACTAATAATTATTTTAAAAAATTAATCGCGATAACATGAGGTTGAATCCTGACAAGACAGAAGTACTGTTTTTGGGGGACAGGCAGGTGTGGAGGACTCCCTGGTCCTGAATAGAGTAACTGTGCCCCTGAAGGACCAGGTGCGCAGCCTGGGAGTCATTTTGGACTCACCGCTGTCTATGGAGGTGCAGGTCAATTCTGTGTCCAGGGCAGCTGTCTACCAGCTCCATCTGGTATGCAGGCTAAGACGCTACCTGCCTGCGGACTGTCTTCGCCAGAGTGGTGCATGCTCTAGTTATCTCCCGCTTTGACTACTGCCATGCGCTCTACGCGGGGCTACCTTTGAAGGTGACCTGAAAACTACAACTAATCCAGAATGCGGCAGCTAGACTGGTGACTGGCGCTGGGACCACATAACACTGGTCCTGAGAGATCTGCATTGGCTCCCAGTACATTTCCAAGCACAATTCAAAGTGTTGGTGCTGACCTTTAAAGCCCTAAACGGCCTCGGTCCTGTATACCTGAAGGAGCGTCTCCATCCCCATCATTCTGCCCGGACACTGAGGTCCAGCGCCGAGGGCCTTCTAGTGGTTCACTTGTTGCAAGAAGTGAGGTTACAGGGAACCAGACAGAGGGCCTTCTTGGTAGTGGCACCCTCCCTGTGGAACACCCTCCATTCAGATGTGAAGGAAATAAGCAGCTATCTTCTCTTTAAAAGACATCTGAAGGCAGCCCTGTTCAGGGACGTTTTAAATATTTAACGCTGTATTGTTTTTAACACTTGATTGGGAGCCGCCCAGAGTGGCTGGGGAAACTCAGCCAGATGGGCGGGGTATAAATAATAAATTATTATTACTGTTATTATTCAGACCACGCCCCCCTACCGCATGAGAAGAGGCACTCACGGTTGATTGGTGGTCTCCGCCTGGGGGGCACGGACCTGCTCCGGCCACGACCTCTCCTGCTCCGCGCAGGCGCATCGCCGTCCCCACTCCCTCCCTTCAGGAGTCTCTTCAGCGCCCTCCACAGGCGCCACTGGCCGGCTTCGCCGCCGTCCTCCTCCTCGCCGTCGCCCTCCTTCTCCCCCAGGCGCTCCTCGGCCTTGCTCCCGCCGCCGGCCCCTTGCTTCTCGAGGCGGACGACGCGCTGCCAGAGCTCGGCGTCGATGGGCGGCAGGACGAGGCGTCGGCGGTTGCCCGTCAGCCCCGCGCTCCCGCGCCTGACGCCGGCCACGAGGAAGTTGCCGCGCTCCCGCAGCGAGGTGACGGTGCGGCAGTAAGGGCACGTGACCTCCTCCCACCAGCCCTCGCGCGCCAGCTGGCACACGCAGGCGCTGCAGATCACGTGGCGGCAGCGGGAGGGCTTCCACGAGCCGTGCGCGCCCCCCAGGCGGCGCGGCGCGCGGCCGCAGCGGTCGTAAGGCATGCAGCAGATGCCGCACTCCAGGTCCTCGGAGGCGCCGCCCTCTTCGCGCTCGTCCACGGCCATAGCCTGCTCTGCCTTGACTCGAAACGGCCCCTTGCGCGCTTACCCGTAGCCCGCGAGGCGCGCGAGCCAACTGAAGGGCGCCTCTCGCCGGCTGCCTCTATATATAGACACGAGGAGAGCGGGCCCGGTCGCTTGGGTACACGCCCCTTTTTGCTCTTTTCAGCCAATGCGGAGCTAGAGGGGCGGCGCGCGGCGAAAGGCCACGCCTCCCCAGTCCTCTTTCAAAGGGGGAAAAAGGCGGGAAAAAATGTGGGAGGCGGTTGGTGGAGGGCAGGCGGGAGAGGCGCCCCCCTCTCAGCAACCTGTTGACTCAGGCAGAAATCCAACTGGTAAGGTTTCTGAGGTAAAGTGATGTGGAAAGAAGAACTACGCCATATGTACAGTTTTAATTCTAATAATGTTCAGTTGATTTTCATTGTGTGTGTGTGTTTTTTTTAAAAAAAACACCCCGTGTTTTTATTTTATCTGTAAGATACCTTGAATCTTCCTCAGGGAAAAATGAGGGGTATAGATGACTATATAATCATCACAACCATCACCATTAATAAAAATAATATTTATTCATTTCTATCCCGCCTTTTTCCGAGAGTGGGGACTCAGTGCGGTGTACAAGAAAATTTAAACATCACAGATTAAAATACAAAAAGCTAAAGATAATGGTTAACAAACTGAAACATCAATGGGAATTTTCAAAAATCCAGCTTTTCTGAAATTTGATATTCCAAGAAATTAATAAAATAACAGAACAACAATGGGAAGCCTCAAACCAGAATTAGCTTTATTAAATATATTTCAAAACAACATTCTGGATAAAGACCTACGTGTAAACCATCTTGAAGCTGGTCAATAAAATCCTGAAAGAGGGAAAAAAAAAAAAAAAAAAAAAACAACATTCTGGATTTACATGATAATCAATAAGCCATTTATTACAAGCAACAAGACGCAACCAGACACTGGAAAGATTTCTGGCACAACAATAAAACAATCAGTATAAAACAGTTAGCAGGACCCAAGAGATTAACAAATAAACTACAGTTGACATGTGGACAGTTCAAGAAAAATGGCTTTGTCCTGATGCCAATTACGGTAATCTTCACTTTGAACCCCATTCCCATGTTCATCAATATACCAACATTTTATATGGTCTCATTGGTGACATAAGAGGAAAAATGAGTATTACTCATACTTAATATAAGCACAATCATAAGGGCTTCTGATTAGGCATTTAGCTATGCAATGTTGACTGTTATCTGTCAGCTCTGTTATATCCTGTTTCCCTTTTGTTTAAACCAATTCGCAAGCTAAGAACATATACATTGACCACTAATAATGAACCAAAAGTTGTAGATATTGTTTTTGTTGTTTAGTCGTGTCCGACTCTTCGTGACCCCATGGACCAGAGCATGCCAGGCACTCCTGTCTTCCACTGCCTCCCGCAGTTTGATCAAACTCATGCTGGTAGCTTCAAGAACACCATCCAACCATCTCATCCTCTGTCGTCCCCTTCTCCTTGGGCCCTCAGGCTCCAATACTTTGGCCACCTCATGAGAAGAGAAGACTCCCTGGAAAAGACCCTGATGTTACAGTAATACAAATTTATTATCCTGTTTTCGTGATGAATGATGTGAGACTTGGGCCTGTTTATTATCATTATTATCTTATTCCTATGATCTTTGTTTAGAAAACCCAGTAGAAAGTCATTCACATAAAAAGTAATTAAACCCTAGTAGTAGAATTAAAACAATATAAACACAAATCTATTAACTTACAGATAGCAAAAACAGCATAGCACTATTAAACGCCCTTTGCTTAAAAACAGCTCCCAAAAGCTTGTTGGAATAAAACAGTCTTCAGCTGCTGGCAGGAGCCCTCCCAGAGCATTTAAGAAGATGACTTCTTTTTTAACCTCCCCCCACCAAATAAAACAGTATTTTAAAAGTACAAATGAAGCTATCCACAATGCTTGGCAAAATTACCGTACTTTTCTATGTATAAGACTAGGGTTTTTTTTACTTTAAGGTTAAAAATCTCGGGTCGTCTTATACACAGATAGTGCATATGCCCATTTTCTAAATTTGGGGTCCCCAAAAGTAGGGGGCATCTTATACATGGAAAAATACGGTATATCTTAATGTTGTGGGACTATAAGAACTGCCTTATAATTGTAGCCTGAGTCCATCTACCTGAGTATTGCCTATACTACCTGGCAGCAGTTCAGGGTTTTAGGGATTCCTTCCTGCCCATAATTTGGAGATGCTGAATGTTGTAACATTGGGCTTTCTATTTACACAGCAGGTGCTTTGTATCCTTCAAGTACGGGAAATCTGAAACTGACTTTATGTGTAAACAACCAGCAGTTTAGGGGGAAATGTCATTACATAAACAGAAGGATGTACAGCACTTTGAATCCTCTATGAATTCTGTTAGATTTTTCAAACAATGATGCATGTCACCTGAGCACCAAAATATAGTGGGAACCTTAGTAACAGTGGCAATTTTAATATAATAGCTGCTAAATGGCATTAGCACAATATGCCTACGGAAAAAAGAGTGGCTCATTAAAGTACAGCATGCAGCTGCAATGCCTAAGCATAATGTGTTTGCGTGAAGAAAGGGGAAAGCAGAAATCCAGTATCGCCCCTCATGCATATGAAGATTTCTCATTCTTGAAGAGGAATTGCTATGGCAGCGTATGAATTATGCATTCAAATTCACAATGATTTATTTATAAAGGTACAAATATGGATAGATGATGGCAGAACAATTAGTTTGTGCTATAATAAAAAAATCAATAAGGCAATCCGTTTTTTTAGAAAGTGAAAAAGAGCTGTTTAAAACCTGATTAACGGTACTTTCAATAGAGCACAGTTTGAAACAAGTATGTTTTAAAAGGTCAGGTGTTTTTTTTAAAAAGGGAGTATTTCAACAAAGATGGGGCCATATGTACTTTTTTTTTTTTTTGAGGCGGGACCCCAAAGATCTGGTTCCTCTGATGCCAAGGCTCTGTCTCTGATGCCAGGCAGTCTTGATAATGGGTCTTGATAATGGGCTTGCATGCAGTGTCTCAGAGGCAATCTTTAAAGCCCAAGCAATTTCTGTAAGGGCAGGCGGTGCTTCCAATAGCCTGATCCCAAACTGCTACAGTTTTAAAAGATCAAGAGCCACCTAGGAACAAGGCCATGGGGTTTGTATTTGCCCAGCCTGGACGGGTGGGGGAAGAAAGAGGATGGAGGGGCAGGTGAGTGTATAGCAAATAGTTGGGTTAGGTTTGGGGAGAATTGCTGAATCAGGAAGTCTGGCTTGCCTCTCAGCTTATGAGGATAATGCGTGTGGGTAGGAAGTACCAGTGTTCGAAATTAGCCAGGTGCTAGTAGCACTTTTTGACAAGCAACCAGCCTTTTGGCACTGGGAGATGTCCGGGCTGCTGCCAGCTGGTTTGCCAGGCACTGCGGTAGCAAAAGACTCGCATATTTTGCTGCCGTGCAACCCTGCAGACCACCTGATTCGTCTGACAGCAAAATTATAACAATGACAACAACAATAACTGTTGTTATTTTGCTCCCAGGCTGCCTGGTCTGGTAGCGCGGCAGCAAAAAAAAAAAAAGGGTGCCTAGATATTTTGTTTTGGTGCCCACAACCTAGGCCCCAGGAGCCACATGGCTCCTAGATTCCTCTCCCAGTTTCTAACACTGCCAAAGTACAGCCATGCATGGTGTTAACGGAGAAATCTGAGGGCTCCCTTGGACAAAAAAAACTAGGACACCAGCCAGGAATACCAGAGCAAAACAGCAGCCAGTAGGCTTGGTCTTTATTGAAGACGGTCGCGACAGGACTCCCACCTGCCACAAGGTGGAACAAGATGGAAGCCCCAAACAGAAGAAGACCCCAACTTTTATTAGCTACTAATCCCCCATGCTACACCCCTAAGACTACATCATGACTACATCATTGACACATCACAAAGAGGAGGGGTTCAGGGAGGAGTTGTGGTGGTAACCTGAGTGTCTTGTCACCTGTCCGGTTCTTCCTTTCCCCCTCCCCATAATTACATTCCTGAGGACAAAGAGGAGTTCACTGTTTCCTGCCCCCAGAGGGAAGGGCTGGTCACTGTCCTTTGTTTCAGTCTGTACTGAATCCACTTCCATATGCAGGTCCTTTGTGAGTGTAATGATCTTCTGACTAGGACCATCAAGGTTGGCATGCCAACTGGGTAGGGCTCACTGCCAACGTGTTGGCTGCCTTGTGTCAAGTTTCCCCCCTTTGATAGTCCTTCCTTCATGGTGTAAAATAAAAGTGGAATGGTACAGATCCGATGTATGGCTGATTTTCTATGAATTTATAACAGAAGCATCGCGTATGTCTTGTGTGTGTGTGTGTGTGTGTGTGTGTGTGTGTGTGTGTGTGTGGTGTTTGTACAAACTGAATGATTGGGGAGGGGGGCGGGTTCCTGCAACAATGGGACCCTAGGCTTTCTGAAGGCCAGGCAGAATAATAATCACAACCACCTTTGCTATTTACAGTCCCTCCAAACCATGGAGCACAGGGCTTTTTTTCAGCCCAAACTCACCACAACCTCAGGTGGGTGCCATTGACAAGGGAGGCATTCATGGTGAGTTCCAGCACCTCTTTTTCTAGAAAAATAGCACTGTATATGCATATTAGTTATTGTTACTATTGCTTATTCAACTTCTATTCCACCCTTCCTCCCGAAGGAGCCCAGGGCAGAGAACACACCAATCTTAAAAGCATTCTAAAATCACTCTTAAAACTTTCTAAAAGCAGTTGAAACATTATCTCAACCAGTGATGTGTGTATGAAAGCTTATAAATATGCTAATGCTTAAATTCCCAGTAGGTTGCGATTTCTTTGCTGCAAGGGATTATCCACCTCCAAGGGGTGGTGATGATGGACTCCTGAGAGGGGAGCACTGTGTGTGTGTAGGGAGATATTAAATAAGATGGGGGGACTGCTCATTGCATTGGGTCCAGGCTGGCTCTTTGGCACTAAAGCACTGTGTGCTGTTCAGTAGGCAGAGACATTGCGCTGGAGAAATCTTGTTGGGGAAACCCTCTGAGGTAATGGGAGAGTTTAATGTTTGTTGACCGCAAGTGCCGGAAATCCCCCTTGCTTGAGCCAATTTTCGCCCTGGACAAATAAGATTTACTGGAAAGGCAAACAAGATTTTGCTTTGGGTCTGCGTATACTAGGACTGATGACTCCACCGGGGTCCTGTTCTCTGCTCTCAGAGGGGATATGATAGAGAGGGCTAAATTTGCATTGGTCTGACTGTTGTATCTTAAGGGCCAAGAGTGTCAAAATCCTGCTCAATTGCCTGAGCATGAGTCATCCTGTTGGCGTGTCCGTCTGGGGCCTTGGCAGGGAGAGCTTTCTGATGAGGTCAGGGCTCCGGTTCTTTGGCTGGCCATCCAGGAAGCCTCCCAGTGCCAGCTTCTCCCTGCCGGGGAGTGCAGAAATCAGGATTTGAATTTTTACGCCCCCAAGTATGGAGATAGCAGCTGTTTCCTGGTTGCTGCGTGTGTTGACTGAGCCTTCAACCAGAAATTACCCTCAGGGTTTTAACCTTGTGCAACAATGCACGTACACATGCAGCCGTCTCAGTCTGGAACACCCCCTTAGTCCTGACCCCGTGGCATAGAGAGGGCATCACCCTGCCCTTCAATCGCATCCCATAGCCACCCCCACACCCCACATCTGACCTCCCTTCACTGACAGTATTTGCATAGAAAGTTTTTTTTCCCCTTTAAAGCAACAGCTGGAATAAATATGTAGAGGTTGTGATTGATGGCAGTTAGTTGATGTTCAAGGAAATTTCTGGCCTCTTAAAGACACCTGTCAGAGGCCTCTTTATTTGTGGCCATTTTCACTGCCACGTTTCCTTGTGGTGCTGCGTTACTTTTCTACCCACAATTGACTCCAATTTTGTTACTAATGCCAGTTGCAGAAGGATCTGCTCACCCGGTTAAAGTGTATAGAAAGGGCATTTTCCTACAACACCCATTCCCACCACCTAAGCTGGAGTGATGCAACATTTTTGAGTGGGTGAGTGATCACAAAGCTATGCCAGGTGGAATAAGTCATCCCAAGCATTCCCTTCTTTGCTGAGAAGGTCCCGTGCCTCGTGAGGTGTTAGGGCAAGGCTGACAACCACATCCTTTGCTCGCGCTGGTGAATTATGAGATATGATTCCTGTTGGGCAGCACCGTTCATGATCTACATCAGCTTTCACCAGCCTTCAGGTGTTTTGGACTACAACTCCTATTAGCCATATGCCAGCTGGGACTGATGGGAGTTGTAGTCCAAAACACCCAGTGGGCTCCAGGTTGGCAAATGCTGATCTAGAGGGCAAATGGGAGTCAGGGGAAAGGACCATGAGGGGGGAAAGCCATCTACTTTGGTTTTTCCAATGTTTATATTTTTAACACTGAACTAGAATTCATTTGTTTGATTCCATTGTGGCTCAGTTGAGACCAGGGTTTCCGCTACCACTTTAGATGTTATAGAGCTAGCTAGGAAGACTGGGTTATCACCAGTTAGCATTGTGAACAATTACTGTAGTCATGAGCTTTGCATGGAAATGTCTCAAGCTGTACGTCTTGTATTTCAAAGCTGCTTGTCCCCACTGTGTACATTCCCCTTGCTAGAATCACAGAACTGTAGAGTTGGAAGGGGCTCTAGGGTCATCTAGTCCAGCCCCCTGCAATGCAGGAATCTCAACTAAAGCATCCATGACAGATGGCCATCCAACCTCTGCTTAAAAACCTCCAAGGAGTCCACCACTTTCCAAGGGAGTCCATTCCACTGTCAAACAGCTCTTGCTGTCAGAAAGTTCTTTTCCTTTCTTGTAACTTGAATCCATTGGTATGGCTCCTACCCTCCAGAGTAGGAAAAAACATGCTTGCTCCATCTTCCATGTGACAGGTCTTTGGATATTTGAAGATGGCTATGATAACTCCTCACAGTCTTTCCAGGCTAAACATACCCTAGGTCCCTCAGTCTGCCAGATAACAGTTTATGCATTTGACAGAGTGGGATCTAGTCCATGAAAGCCGGTGCCACAGTAAATCTTGCTCTTGATTTCGTGAACAGTCAGCTACTCTTTTGGGAGCTTGTACTAGGTGCTGTAGGCTGATCGCCAAAGAATTGATGCTTTTGAATTATGGTACTGGAGGAGACTCTGGAGAGTCCCATGAACTGCAAGAAGATCAAACCTATCCATTCTGAAGGAAATCAGCCCTGAGTGCTCACTGGAAGGACGGATCCTGAAGCTGAGGCTCCAAGACTTTGGCCACCTCATGAGAAGAGAAGACTCCCTGGAAAAGACCCTGATGTTGGGAAAGATGGAGGGCACAAGGAGAAGGGGATGACGGAGGACGAGATGGCTGGACAGTGTTCTCGAAGCTACCAGCATGAGTTTGACCAAACTGAGGGAGGCAGTGGAAGACAGGAGTGCCTAGCGTGCTCTGGTCCATGGGGTCATGAAGAGTCGGACACGACTAAACGACTAAACAACAACTAGGCGCTGTACAGATCAGCCACAGAGGCATAGCTGTTCCCAACTGGAGGTCCTCTCCAGACCCATTTGGGATGATAGTGGATCTGGGTGTTATGACTCGGTTCCTTGCCCGCAGAAGCAACATCTCCCAGGTAAACAGGAAGCCATCAAACCGGTTGAGGACAGAAGCTCATGCAAATTTCATTCTTGGCAGCTGCAACGGATCTCTGACAACACCTGGCTATCACAAGGGAATTTGAAATAGCTGGGAATGGCTGAGCCTGACAAAATTGTCTCTGCATGAAACACCAGTCAGGATGAAGTAAAGAGTAAATATGCTATCTTTCAGGTTCATGGAAGTCTCAAGAGCCTAGCTTGATGGTTGTGAACATTAATGTTATATTGCAGCAAAGATCTGAGACTATAGTGGAGAAATCCAGTCCCACAAATTTCTGTGACTTTCCACCTTCATTTACACTGGGGGTGTGCAATGAAGGGAAAGGAGCAGATCACAGGAATTTGGTCTATTTTTCGATTTCTGTCTGCTCCTTTGACTCCTGTTCTTTAGGTAACTAATATGACTTGCAACAAAATGTTGCAGTGTGAGGAGTGCTCCTGTCCAGGTTCCCACCCCATTAGCTAGTCATGTCCTGTTCCAGAATACTCCATTCCATTTGTTGCCCCTCCAGTAAGCCTGCATAGCATGGCACTGAGCATACTTTTTCTACATTGATATGGGGTTGTTTTTTTATTGCACCCCGTCACATTTAAGCTTTTCTGCCCCCTCAATATTGTTGTGGGTTTGTGGGGTGTGTGTGTGTGTCAATCTGGACCATGCCCTGAGTGACCTTCATTCAAAGGAAACCAATCCCTGGAAAAGCGCTGAAACCCCTGCAGTCTCTCACCACTCAGAGATTGTGGTTGGGCATTACAATATTTTTTGTACTTCTGCAAACCTTAGACTTTGCCTGTCCCTCTTGTGAGCGTGGATGATGCTGTTTTGGCTACATTAAGCAATCACATTTGGAGAATGAGTTTGCTGCCAAGCCTGCAGAGTTCTTGCAAGAGCCTGAAGTGTGATACTAGGTCAGCGATGTGCAATTCTCGTGGCCTCACAGGGCCTCGCCTTTATTCCTCGCCATCCTTCCAGCACTGATCTGCTTGCTGCTGCTGTCGCCTCGCCTTCCTTGCATGATCTCACGGTTTGCTCTGAACCAAGGCTTTCCAAAGCTTCCTCCTTTTCCCTCCCCTTCCTGCTTTCTTGATTTCTTCCCAGCTGCAGAGTGAATCCACTGATTCAGTTTGTTCACTTAAGGATACGGAGAGAGAATTGGCAGGAGCCGAGAGACAGGGAGCTGCCAACTGCATCTGCCACTGCCGCAGATTGCATGAGTCAGCCTCTTTCTAAATAGTGAGAGTGGCGTTATAAATTCTGGGTTGGCAAATCAGTACATGCTAATCCCAAGATAACAACAACAACAATCCTTACCATTTATTGAGTGCTCTGTACGCTTCACGTACATTACCTCTGTAATCTTCTAACAACCCTATAAAGCAGGTCTGTATTATTAGCCTATATTGCACTTGCATACACACACAGAGTCAGTCACTCCAACCCCAGGTCTTGCCATCCCTCGCAGGATAAGAGAATTATAGAGTGTGGCATTCAGGCTAGCCAGACCCCAACAACTGGATTATCTTTCCCAGAAGATTTACCCAAGGCAAGGCATGAACCTCTGCTGGGAGAGTATTGTAATAAATGAAAATCTGCCCTTCTTCCCTTATGGGGGACACAAGAGCCATTATAGAATCATTTGTAGGTTCTCCATTGGTCAGAGAAAAGAACAGAGACCAGCCAGAGAATATTGAGAAGCAAAGCAGCTAGTAAGCTTGATCTTTATTGAACTGTTACAACAGTTACAACAGGGTGCCCCCTTCACACGCAGGAGGAGGACCCAGAACCCAGGTGTGCCCACCCTTATATAGACATTTTAAATTGCCCGCCTTGGTGTCCAAGACCAAACCCAGATACATAATACCTACAAGACAGAAAGGGTGGTCTACAGCAGAAATCTGAGTGCGTTGTTTACCTCCTGTCTGGCAAGTTACCTGTTAATGCTTACTTAATTGGATACCCTGGGGAGCCTGGCCAATCTTTTGTAATGACAAATACTTAGTTCCTGAGCCAGGTGACAGGCTCACCCTATTCATACACAGACATACCCTTAAGACAGGATTTGTGAAGGAAAAGACAATGGGGAGGCTTTTCCATTTGACTTTGCAGAGAAATCATTTGGTCAGCTTGGGAGTCAAAATGGTTCCAGGGCTGGTTTCCTGTGCTGCTTCAGACATGTAGTTTATATATTTATGTACGTGTTTGCTTGGTACATTTATAAATCTTTATTATATACATAAGACCTTAATTTTTTTATTTCAGTATTAAGATTTCTGATGGCAAGAGCCATTTGACAGTGGAACAGACTCCCTGGGAAGGAGGTGGACTCTCCTAAGGAGAGTTTGGATGGCCACTTGTCATGGATTCTTTAGTTGAGATTGCTGCATTGCAGGGGGTTAGACTAGATGACCCTCGGGGTCCCTTCCAACTCTTATGATTCTATGAACGCGCATGTGAGTGAAAGCATATATATACAGATATGGCTGGGCCATGGAAATCATGTTGAGTGGCTATGTCACTTCCTGGTTCACGCTGAGAAGCTATTTTTAGACATTACTGGGGATGGAAGAGAGAGTTGCCCATTGATATGAAAACTAAGCATGTTCAATGGGCACAAACTGCTGTGGTAGTGGTGGTGTACTTGGAACCCTGAACAGAAGCACTTCATACTGCAACACTTTGTTGCAGGGCCCACTCCATGTGTGATGCGCGCGCATGCGCGCACACACACACCTGATTAAAGGACACCTCAGTTGACCCAAAGCATCTAACTGATGAAGCAATCAGACGTTACAACCCTATACTGAATTCTTCAGGCGAAGAAATCAGATTAAGAAAACTCTGTAACTGGGATCAGCTTGCTTGCTGGAGGGGGTCCCATAAACGACACCGGCTTAATCTATGACAGGAGCATAGCCTAATGTGTTGGCTCATGCTCATAAGCGTGATAATTGTAGGCGCCGCCTGCTCCTTTCAACAATGCAAGCAGCTTGACAACTCAAGTTGCAATTTCCATCGCTTGCCTTGCCCTGGTGAAAAGGAAACCAGACAGGAAGCACGATGTATATGCTTGATGGGCTCAACTCTCCCCGTGTTGAGAATGGCCATAGATCTAAAAATACAGACACCTTTTACTGTGTGTTTTTTATGAGAGTTGATGCAGAGATTCCCCCTCCTCAGACTGCGGTGCTCCTGTTTCAACCTGCACCTCATGCCAGCAGCAGTGGTGAAACTTCTCATGTGCCCAAGGCGCTTGGGTTTGTGACTCGCCAATCTCTCGGCTAATAACAGAGAAGGTAACTGATAAGCTATTTCCTCTTGAATAATGTAATTGCGCAGCTGAGAGGAAGCACCGGTTCCCCCAGGATACCGCGGCACATGGACCAACGCCACTTGGTAAATGTTTGAAGGACTTATCACAGCATGAACATGCTTGTGCTCCCCAAGGCAGAGTTTCACCTCCAAGAGCCAGGGACAAAGAGCTGTAGCTCACTGCTTTGTGAGCAAATGGTCCCAAGGTCAGCTAACAGCACCTCTGTAGAATCATAGAACTGTGCAGTTGGAAGGTACCAGTCCAGCCCCCTGCAAATCAGGAACCACAACTCAAGAATTCCTGAGAGAGGGGCACCAAGCCTCTGTTTAAAAACCTCCAAGGAAGGGGAGTCCATGACCTTCCGGGGGACCCATTCCACTGCTGAATAGCTCTTATCGTCAGAAAGTTCTTCCTAATGTTTCTTATTAATCATTTAATTGCACCCCGCCTTTTTGCCCGGCAGGGACTCAAGGTGGCTTACGGATAAAAATAAGAACAGCTACAAACATAGGGGGGAAACCCAATCATTATAAACAAACACTAAAACTATATATATGCACATTTAAAAATCTATTAAAACCGTAACAAATAATTACAATAAACACAGCACAGCGTCAGCCCTTTCATTAAAAGCAGTCAGTTCCCAAAAGCCTGTTGGAACAGGAAAGTCTCCTCCTGCTGGCTCAAGGACAGCAAGGAGGGAGCCAGTCTGGCCTCTCTAGGCAGGGAGTTCCAAAGTTACCTGGGAGCAGCCACCACCGAGAAGACCCTCTCCTGCGCCACCCACCAAGCATCCCTGTGGAGGGTGACAGCACTGAGAGAAGATCTCAGAGCCTGGACAGGCGCATATGAGGGAATACGGACTTTCAGATACAGTAGCTGGGACCTAAGCCGTGGCCTGCTTGCTAGAACCAGCCCCAGTCAACAATTTGGCTGCAGCCCTTTGAGCCAGCTGAAGTTTCTGAGCACGTTTCAAAGGCAGCCCCATGTAGAGCGCACTACAGTAATCCAAATGGGAGGTGACTAAGCTTTGTGCCACTGTGGCGCAATCTCCTTTGAATGTCATTTGAATTCTTCGGTCCAGGTCCTACCCTCTGGAGCAGCAGAAAACAACTAGAGATGTGAAGGCAGCTATCATATCTCCTGTCTTCCAGGCTAAACATACCCAGATCCCTCAGCTGTTCCTGATAAGTCTTGGGTTTCCAGACCCTTCAACATCCTGGTCACCCTCCTCTGCCCACCTTCCTCCTTGTCAACACCCTTCTGAAACTAGGGTGCCCAGAACTGGACACGGAACTCCAGGTGGGGTCTGGCCAAGGCAAAACAGAGCAGAACTATTATTGGGAAGCATGCCTGCTTGAAACCTTGTAAAGGAGCTACCAGGCAGCACAGGCATGGATCCAGCAATGGTTAAGGCAGCTTCCTCACACATTAGGTTTCATAGGAATCATAGGATTGTAGAGTTGGAAGAGTCACCAAGGGTCAGCCCCTTGCAATGCAGGAATATTTTGCCCATTCTGGGGCTCTAACCCATGATTAAGAGTTTCAAACATGTACATTTTGTTGCATGCTACCCTGATCTCTGGGATGCGGGTGGCGCTGTGGGTTAAACCACAGAGCCTAGGGCTTGCTGATCGGAAGGTCGGCGGTTCGAATCCCCGCGACGGGGTGAGCTCCCGTTGCTCGGTCCCTGCTCCTGCCCACCTAGCAGTTCGAAAGCACGTCAAAGTGCAAGTAGATAAATAGGTACCACTCCGGCGGGAAGGTAAACGGCGCTTCTGTGCGCTGCTCTGGTTCACCAGAAGCGGCTTAGTCCTGCTGGCCACATGACCCGGAAGCTGTACGCTGGCTCCCTTGGCCAATAAAGCGAGATGAGCGCCGCAACCCCAGAGTCGGCCACGACTGGACCTAATGGTCAGGGGTCCCTTTACCTTTACTACCCTGATCTCTGAGCAGGGTCCTGCTTCCTTGGAATGAAGCTTACTGTAGCAGAGACTAGGATGATGATGATGATGATATAATAATAATTTTTTTTAATATAGATATTTATTAAGATTTTTCAAGTGTTACAAAATAAAAAAATAAAAAATAAAAATACAAAATAAAAATAATTAAAAACTTTCCTTTGCTTATCTTTCATTTGCTTATCTTTCATTTGCTTATTTCCCGGACCTCCTCACACCTCCCTTTTTTGTATTCCAATTCAATTTATTAATTCAGCAAATCCTTTCCCTCTTTATTTATCCTAATCTTTCATTGCATTACCTTAATCTATTTTCATCTTATCTTGTAGAAAACCTTAAAACTTAAAGCTTAAATCTTATTTTTACCAACTTCTCATATCCATAATATACTTTCCTAATTCTTTAAACATTTTTGCTAGAGCCAAGCAATTTCATTTCAACATCTTTCTAACATTCATCAATTTTATAAAACAATCCTAGTAACAAAACAAAAAAGAAATAAAGACAATCCATTCTTCATCCAGCATCCCTTCCTCCTGGTCCCGGGGATATTATAATAATAATAATATTTATATGGGTTGCCCCAGCCACTCTGGGCGGCTCCCAACAAAATACTAAAAACACAATAAAACAATGCAAGCGAGGGCGAGCGCCCTCCACACGGCGCCCACCACACGGCGAGTGTCTGGCCAAGTGTTTGTTGTGCTTCATTTCCAAATCAGAAAGTGTGGACCTAAGAACAATGCATTATCAAACACAGACCCCCAAACCTGGTGGTAGAATCACAGAATTGTAGAGTTGGAAGGGATCGCAAGGGTCATCTAGCCCATACCCCCTGCAATGCAATAAACGTTGGCCCTAAGTGGGACTTGAACCCGTGACTCTAAGTCTCATGCTCAATGGTCAGGGGATGAGGTCCAGCATAGTGTAGCGCGTGGCTGGAGTGTTGGACTTGGAGCTGGGAAGGGCCTGGGTTCAAATCCCCATTCAGCCATGAAGCTCACTAAATAAATAAGTGATGGGGAGTGGAGTCCGGGGACTCAAGGTTCATCACACCAGGCAGAGATATCTCTGGCATTCACCCGCACTGTTTTCCAGGTACAGACGCCTGCGACTGATTGTTGTCATGACAATATGAGCATTTTAAGGCAGAACATTGCTGAACGGTGGAGTCTCATTCCCCTTCCAAATCCTCTTCTCAAAGCATCTCATCGATCACAAGAACAAGCATCACAAAACACCAAGCAAGACCAGGTCTGTCGCTTCATGTATTCTTTATTTCAGTATTTCAAATATCTCTCCCTGCCCCCACCCCACTGCCCAAACACACACACACCCCCCAAAAGAAGAAAAGGGGCAAAAAAACCCCTCTTTGAAAGCCACGTGCCCATTCTACTTATATCAAGCATTTTTAAAAAATCCCTGCAAGGTGGTCTCTGCAGGGGGACTGCTTTTCAGTAGAAATAGCTCTTTTCTCTCTCCTTTAGGGGGAAAGGGGCGATTTGTGCACAGGCCTGCAGTGCCTCTGCTGTGCTGCAGAGGGAGCTGCTCTCCCTTGGAACCAGCTCTGCGCTTTGAAATCTTTCAGGGCTTTCTTGCCTAGCCTCCTTCCCTTTACAGATCCAAAAGAACATTATCAAAAGGCGGCTAAATATTACTAGATTCACACACAGAGAAACACCTTGTACAATCTAGTCATATATGGGGGCAGGAGCCCAGGAGTCCAGCTCCCAGGCAAAACTGACCTGAACCCCCTTTTGCCATTTAAAAATATCTGCCCGTCGGTTTGGAAATCTCTTCTAAAAATTGAATATATTCAGTCTCCCCCCCCCCCTTCAGATTTCCTACGCAGTTTCTAAACAGATTCCTTGCCCTGAGCTTTTGTGGGGTACAAATCTGGGCTACAACCAGATAGAATCTTAAAAGCCTTAAAAATTGTAGGGTTGGAAAGGGAACCCCAGGGCACAGCTGTCAAGTGTCCCTTATTTGGCGGGACAGTCTCTTATCCCAGTGCCACGTCCTGCTGCTGTCCCTTATTGATGATGTCCCTTAAATAAGCTACTGAAGGTAATGGGGCCCTTTCTATGTCCAGATGTCCTTCGTCAACAACAAATTGTTGCTGTTTTTTGTGTGTTGAATATATGCTATATGGTAATTTATGGACCTAATAGGTATCTAAAGCCATTTGCATGCAACAAAATATGTATTTTATCAAAGTAATTGTTGATCCCTTATTTTGGCTGCTGATCCCTTATTTTCCAATCTGTAAGTTGACAGCTATGCCCCAGGGTTATCCATTCCGAGCCCCTGAAATGCAGGAACCACAGCTAAAGAATCTCTGACTGTCAGCAATGCAACCTCTTGTTTAAAAACCTCCAGTGAAGGAGAGCCCGTCAATGTTAAGATTATACATATATTTAATTATATTAATGTTTCCTATTAATGTTTTTAATTTAACACCCCCCCCCCAATGTTTTTAGCTGTTCTTATTTTATCTGTAAGCTGCCTCGAGTCCCTGTCGGAGTAAAAGGCAGGGTATAAATAAATATATAACAACGTATGTTCAAAGCCTCTAAAGATTGTAGTGTGACATAGTGGTTAAAGACTTGGACCTGGGAGACTAGGTTTCAAATTCCCACTCGGTCGTGAAGATTATAGGGTGTTGATCTTTGGGCTGCCTTCTCTCAGCCTAACCTCCATTGCTGTGGGGATTAAATGAGACCCACATAATCCACCGTGAGCTCCCTGGAGAAAAACAGGTGTGGCATGAATAATAGAATTGGAGAGCTGGGAGCACGAGGGTCGTCTAGTCTAACCCCATGCGGCGCAGGAACCTTTCGCCCAACGTGGGACCCGAACCCGGGACCCTGAGATGAAGAGTCTCACGCTCTACCGGCCGAGCTACCCCTCGTGGAAACAACGCAATAAATAAAGCTCAGGAATGATCTGAGGGACCGAGAGGGGTGTGCGTGGGTGCCATCTTAGAAATCCCAAGCAGCCTCAGTTCTGACCTGCAGACCCACCCCAACCCCCTGCAGAGACTCCTGGAAGCGACAGAAGTGCTACTCTAGAGTAAAACTCGAAGCAGACTCATTCTCGACAGAGAAAATATATGTATATATATATATACAGCATCGTATAATTTTGCAGCCAGTGCGAGGGGGGCAGGTGCCACAGCGGCCCTGCCCTGGAAGCGCAGCAGATTCAAAGCAATGAGTTGTGCAAAAAATAGGGTGCCACAGGGCTCCCCGGGAGCAAGGGGGTTCGGGGGGGGGACTCGGTTGCTAGCCTTCCTCTCTCCCCACTGCCCCAAGGTGACCCTTTGACCCTGAGGACGCTTTTTTCCAATATATTATTGCTTTAAGAAGAGATGGCTCTTTCCCTAGAGGAGGGTGAATATGGAATTCTTTTTTAAAAAATGAAATGCAAAAAAAAAAAAAAGAGAGAGAGAGAGAGAGAGATTAAGTCAGAACCAAAGTGATAAGGCAGCCTCCACCTCCGCAACAAAACGGGAAGGTTCGGTGATGTCGGCCTCTGGGGAGAAAATTCACGGCAAAATGAAGAACCGCAGAGGGAAACTGAGGGGGAAGGAGAGAGAAATGTCTTCTTTCCTCTCTCTCTCTCTCTCTCTCTTCTCAGCCATCTGCTTCTGCTGCTCCTGAGGAGCAGGAAGGGAGCCAGTTTTGCTTTCCTGCCAAAAGTAACAGGGGGGAATTTGTAATGGCATTCTGTGAGGAGAATAGCTGCAAATTAGATAAAGGATTAGGTGAAACCAAATAAAGACATTACATTTTACGCTTTGGGGCAGGGGGTGGGGGGGAGATACATCTGACGAACATCGTTCGGAGAAGCTGAGTGGAGCTTGTGGGCAAAATGGCTTTTGCTTGCCCAAAGGGCTGATCCGCCCAACAACCATGAATTTTGGGCCTTCTTAGCCCCCCCAAAATGGAGGAACGTAATCCTGCCATGGAGATGAATGCTCTCCAGTCTCCACTCGGTGGGGAAGGGGAAACAGGTTCTGGCAACGATTTTGCACTGCAGAAACCGTCCTCCCTTTCCCCACTCCCTCAGTGGGGGAAAAATAATCCATGACTAGGCCAAGTTAAGCACACGAACTGACGGACAAATTTGTCTTTCAAAAAGTCCTAGCCCCACTGTCCTCAAAATGTGGAATGGAAAGACGGTGTTTGTTGCAGAAATTTATGTATAGGTGGGGGTTGCCCCTCCAGCAGATATCATGCACATGCAGCCCACTACCAAAATCAGCACAATCACTTTTGTGACTTTTGTGATTTGTCCCCACAAAACACCCCATCACAGTTTCTTCCTATCTATTCAAAGGGCCTTTGCGGCACGATACCAAATGTAAGAATTCACTGATAAATGTTATCTCTGTACTGGCTCACAGGGAAAACTTCAGAAATTCATATAGACATGTGAGCTCAGCTACTCAGCAGCCCCTCGGCCTGAGTGATAATCCCTGGCCTCCTGATACCTGAGTGCCAGACAGGTAGCCATTCCAGAAAGAACAAACCCAGATGAAGACAAAAGGGTGTGATTGACTTGGCTGGGAAACAGGGAAATGTAAATATATTTTTTGTTCCACTTGATGGGTGTTTGGTGGAGGGCAAGGAGAACCATGGGGCAGGGTCCAGGATGGTCAGATTATTGCCACCAGTCCTCCCCTTTAATGATGTAACCATGATGTATGAGTGTTGTAGTTTGGGGGGGTGTAACATGGGGATTAGCAGCTAATAAAAGTTTGGGTTCTCTTTTGTTCGGGGCTTCCATCTTGTTCCACCTTGTTGCAGGTGGGAGTCCTGTTGTGACAGTCCTCAATAAAGACCAAGCCTAATGGCTCCTGTTTTGCTCTGGTATTCCTGGCTGGGGTCCTTGTTTTTTGTCCAAGGGAACCCTCAGATTTCTCCGTTAACATGTTGGAGAGGCAAGACAATAATTCACGTGGGGTTTTTTTTGGGGGGGGAGGGTGAGTGGAAATAAAAGATGGGAAGGGGAAGAAAGCTGATATTTGTATCCGAAAAAGGACTCTAGAAAGGTTAAATTTGAAGAATTGGGGTGAAGGGGACTGTCCCTTCACAATATCCCCACCAGAGACAGGGGCTATCTGAGCTATGTCCTCACTGGGGCCTTCACACAAGGCCGGCCTAAGACATCTTGGTGCCTGAGGCAGGAAATCCAAAATGGCGCCCCTCCCGCTCATGCACAGCTCCCATTCGTTTAGCTGAGAGGACTTCCCACTGGGTCGTTCCCAAGATGGCTCCTCTGCGGTCCCTCAAAACATCATAAAACCTGCAAATGATGCTAGTGGGGTGCCCCCCCAACGAAAGCACAAGATGCTGAGGAGAAAAGAAAAGTAAAGTAAATGGAGTGATTCATAACGCTACACGGGACTTTGGTCGGCGGGGGCTAAATGTGCAGTAAGGATGCTCAATTGTTATCATACACCAGCTGTGTGCTTGTTTTCCCCACTCCCCCCATTTTGCCTCGTTGCGCTGTGCGCGCCCCATGTTTAAAAACCAGGCGCATTGATATGGGAAAGAGAGAGGCAAAGCGGCCGGCAGTTCCGGCGCTAGCGGGAGGCGGTGCCTCTTACCCGCCGATCCCATAGCTGGGTTGCTCATGCCTTATCTTATTATTTGTACTGTAATCTAAGCAGGCGGCTTTGGGGGGCAGGCGCTAACCCGCCGGCGCCCTCCCACTTCGCCCGCCGTGGAAGTATACGGTTATTGGTTCTCATGCGCAAAGCGGCTCCTCCTTGCCCCCCCCGCCAAGTTGAGAGGCGGCAGCTGGTGGGAGAGCATGTGGGGCAGGGAGGGGTAGGTAGGTGGGGCCGGGAGCCCCCCAGAGGAGGAGCAGGAGGCGATGCAGTCCTTTGGGACAACAGCGTGCAACGTCCCGGGCGCCGAACGTGTCCCTACGCCCGGGACTCTTTTTTTGCATTGGGCTTGTTGCCCAGGAGCGCATCAATTTCCTGGACGACCTGGGGCGTCAGCTGAGTCAGAACCTGCGGAGAGAGAAAGAGAGGGGTGGCATGACTGAGGAGGAAGGCTTCCGCCATAGTGGCAGTTAAAACATGTTGCAAACTTTGTATGAGAAATCGGGTTAGCAAAAATGGAACTCCACAGCGCCATCTGGTGTCAGAGCGTTAGAATGCATAGACAAGGCATATAAAGCGTTTTTTTCTTTGCCAATGTAGCTGAGTCCCATTCTAGGTTGTTTAAAATTATCGCTGTGATTTTATTCCGCTAGCTAGCTTGAAGTTCTTTTGAAAATGAGGAGGGATGTAAGCTTTCAAAGTAAATAGGGAAATAGAGTGGGCCAGCTTTTCGATAACCTGCTCATATGTCTGTCAAACGCAACACAAAGGTCAGGGGAAACCAGGATTTTAAAAAGAGCTGCAGGGTGTCCCAGTTTTCCTCTCTGTGCAACCCTCTCTAGCGCCCTGGCTTTTCTTTCCATCCCCTTTTTAACCACCACTTTTTTCTTTGAGGGTTTTAAAAAAAGTAAATAAATGTCCATTTCCGTATTAACGGTGTTAAGAAAAAGGAAACAAACTTGCAAGACATTTCCGTCTTGCAAAGCAAGCCCATAGGGAAAATCGTCTTTCGAAGCAGCTCAAAAAACCAAAAACCCTTTCGTCTAGCGAGTTTTTTCTCTTGCGAGGCTTTCGTCTTGCGAGGTACCACTGTAAATAAATATCCATTTCCACTCACGATCACTTTCCTCCATTATATATAGTTGTTCCTGCTCCCCATCTATCTGTCGCCACGTTTCTTTTTTAAATTTTGAA